TATCGCACAAAATTATGAGATAAACTCACTCTTTCACTGCGTGCGTTCACATCATGCTTCTACGTTTACATATGACAAGATGGTGTCACACGCTTTGTTGTGGCTGTGTCAAGTTCGATTTCACAATAAATAGACTTGATCCAAATTCCATAATGAAATTTAAATGATTGAAATTTTTTTTTTCATTATAAAAACCCATTTATACCTTCCAGATTTGAATTTTTTCCAATTTTTTGCCCTATTATGTTGAATTTATTTTAATAAATTCACTTCAAATTCTGAATGATTTTGTCAGCCATTGCAAGTTTTGAATGTTTTGTGTCTTTTAGAAAATGTTCGTTGTTCAAAAGGGGAAACTATTTCATTATATAAAACATAGAGCATGTACCATATAGTGCATTAATAATGCAATTTAATTTTATAAGAATTAATTTTCAATTTAAAAATACAATCAGATTTTTAATTCAAAATTTTTCTAATAGAATTTAATTCTATAGCATGTACCATCTACTGTATTAAATTAATTTATTAAAATTCAATTTTAATTAATTTTTTAATTTAATTTCATTCTACAGCTTCAACCAGTAAAAATTAGCATCATAGGAATGAAAGTAAAACTGTCATTCATACATTACAAATTGAATGACAATGGATGGATTTGACAGGTATTTTAATAATCCTGTTTATATATAAGAACGGAAATGACGCTTCTATTTCAGAATGATAATGGAAATGTCCCTACTGTTTCAGAAACTTTTCTTGAATACACTTCCGAAAACTAAAGTTTTGTAATCAATGGAGTCTTTGAAATGACAAAATTGTTTAATTTAAAATGTTTAGCTATACGAGTGAGATTGTCATTTGTCAATCATCATAGAAGCTGTAAGAAAAAATTAGTTGTTTTTGATGTAAAAGAATGTTTTTAAATTGAAAGAAATGATATACCGTCAACTGGGGTGAATTCGGCCACCAGGGTGACTTCGGCCAACTTTTATGATTTTGTTTTGCGGCCATCTCTTTCTGTTGTAGGTGTGTTGTGTGATTGGAAGAAAATGGTATCCAATGTAGTTTTTTCTTATCTATCGATTGGAAACTGTTTTGTTTCAATAATTTTATATCCTGCTTGACCAACACAATCTGAATGCCACAGTACTGTAAAGAAAAAAAAAAGCTGAGTGCAAACTTCAATATTTTGAGATACATAAAGAATTTTGGGATCAGATTTGTTTCACTTATTTTGGTATCTTGTATAATGATTATTTCAATGGCTATACATTTTTCTCCAAATGTACGGTAATAGGTATATATGCTAGAAAAATTAGCTGGCCAAAGTCACCCCATAGTATATGGGCTAAATGGGGTGACTTTGGCCAGCCAATAAATGTTTAGAATAATAGATTTTTCTTCTTTTTTCAGACAATATGCACAGCTATAAATGTAGATTAGATTCTGTGCCATATAGGATATATTATGTGGAGTGGTTTAAGAAAGCATTGCAATTGATAAAAGATGGTGTTGGGCTGTTAGCTTAAGAGAAGCTGCTAATATTTGTGAAGTCCCTCATTCACCTTTGAGCGACCAATGTGCTGGCCGTAATGCAAAAAATTTAGAACGGTCTACTCTTTCACCTAGGGAGGAGTCAGATTTAGTAGGTATCCTACATTATTCTGCTTTCAGACTGGGGCTTCCCATTAGATGGTATGCCTTTTATGGTTAAAAATTATCTTGACAAACAGGGTCGCACTTTTCGTTAGTTCAAGGGTTGCACCTCTATCAAGCATCATCGTTTTTTTGAAGAATGCTCAAGATCCCTTGAGGACTAGATTTTTTCAAACTTTCACATCCAGCTGCCATTGAAATTGACAGAAAGCAGCTTTAATGAAGCATATGATTCGCAAATGTGAGTTTTATCTTTGAGTTACAATTTTTATAATACACAGTGGCATTGATTATCATTTTTTAAAACACCCTACATGGCCGATGTCACCCTGCTAATGGTTGAATTCGGCCATGAAATCATTTTACTACATTTTTACTGTGTTTTAACACATGTGGTGGTTGGCCCATTGTGGGGTGACATCGGCCAACCAGCTAATTAAAAAAATAAAATTATTTTTCGATAAGAGTGACATCATTTAGACATGACATATTTAAAGAAGAACCTTTCAGTAATATATTTACAAATTTACGATCACCAGCAATGCTTCATTCCTATTTTGTATGAATTTGATCAGCAAAAACTTGTGTAATTGGCCGAAGTCACCCCAGTTGACGGTACTTGATTTTTGGAAATACAATGTTAAAATTAATGATCTGATTAGAATTCAATAGATGTTATGCTTTCAGAATTATTTTCCAAAAGTTTTTACCTATTTAGAATTTATAATTCTACAAATTGCATAACGCAATGCACAAATTCAATATCACCTATGAGTATGAATTTAAGTCTCATGACTGGAGAAGATTTAAAAATTTATTGTACTATCACATAAGCGTAATATAAACTTTTTGTCATTTCGATTAACAAAGTTTATTTAGGTTCTATTGGGTGTAATGGGTGGAACAATGTGACATATTAGTGGCCAACGATTGGTTGGCCATTGTTTGGTGATTTCCAACGATTGGTTGATGTTTGGCTGTTGATAATGCTGATTAATGGTGTACAAATATTGCCGTAGATACATCGTCCAAGAGTTTGATGCAAAGATTTTTATTAGAGGATAATAAATGGTTTTGCAATTGTTTAATCCCTCTTATGGATATAAATAAACATCATTCAAGATATTTCAATAGAGTTTCATAAATAAGCATTAGAATATTTCCTATGAATAAACCAAGCCAAAGTAACAAAATTACTGGTTTGAATTTTTGTTCATTTGATCAGAAAAACATAATTAATCATTCTCTTGCACTAAATATACGAATGATTAGTTGGACTCGGTTACCTTCCGCAATGATCATTCCGCTAGATTATGCACCAGGAGTGGGAGGCAGGAATGAAGCTAGGTATTTAATTCAGTAGCACGTTAGCCGACGTGATATGTAGTTCTGCTCGTCTGAACTCTGAATTGCGTGTTTAGTGTGCATGATGGAAAACTCTGCTTTGCAGCATAGTTATAATTACTTAATGAAGTTTAGTTCATTGCGGTCAACTTAAGAGACAAATTTTCAACTAACTAATACTTTTTATAAGTCTAATTTTAATTGTTGAGTGAAAGGTGCAGGCATACAACTTGCAAGTGATTATGTACTTTATACAAACTGAGCAAATTAGCGTATGTGTTTTAAGCCTTTAAGAGGTTCATTTTTTGCCTCAAATAAAGATATTGGATCAAAAAAGTGGTCTTGGTGGATCAAAATATTCCATCCTGGACCTAAGGGCCATTTAGTGTTGTATTGTTAAAGTCAAGTCAAGAATGTTATGAATTTTTAGTGCCATGTTAATATTAAATTTTTTGTTATTTAAAAATCTATAAATTATAGATATATGCTTAACTAATGCAAATATTTATAAGACAATTCATTTTTTTTAATTTGTAGTTCTTGCTGCCAACGCTAAAATTTTTTATTCATTGTGAGTAATCATTGATTGTGTCATTTACAATAAGAAATTCGTGTTTATGTGGACATAGAAGTTATGTGTATGTACCGTCAAATGGGTTAATAAGGGACGGGCGGGGTAAATCAGGACAGTCATCCCACATTTTGTAGAAATGTTGTATAGGTAGCAGCTAAAGTAATCAAAATATTGCACAACTAAAAATAGTGGCATAAAGTTTAATATATTTACTATCTATGTAGCATAAAGCAAGTTACAAAATCATACATATACTACCTTTGAAAAATCCCTGAAAAAAAGTGTGAAGAGTGCGATTTTGGAAAAGTATCTCTGCTAAGGTTGGTAGCAAAAAAAATATTTACTGTATTAAAAAATTTTACTTGCATAAAAGTTGCACACAGGAGTTGGCTTAAAAACGTGTTGCCAGAATTTGCATATCCCAATGGCTGCAAATGGTAGCCATTTCCGCATGACAAGGTAATATGGGACACCCCTAAAACCCATTTACCGTTGAACCTCAATTAGCAAAGGCTCCAGTTAACAAAAAAATCAATTAATAACAAATACCTTTGATTACATTTACCTTGATCAGCAAAAAAAATTTCACTTAACAGAAAAGTACCATAATGCATCATCGGTCATCAAAAAATTGTGCTTAGGATGTCATAGATAGAATTGTGCACCAGGCAACATAGAATGAAAACTGAAAAGTAATTAACCTAAACTATGATTTATTTCTCCAAAAATATAGTAGTTGTCACTAAAATATTCCTTTCCATTGCAGGTATTGTTTTACGATCTTTTTTATTTTTGTTTATGTAAAATAGTGCGAAATTACAAGCTGTCCTGTGCGCTTACAGATACAGAAGAAATGCTATAGGGCTGCTGATATGAAGCTTGCTGTGAACAAAGTCGTTGTAAATGCTCAATGCCATGTTCATGGATACAGTAATATCACATCAGTAATACGGTAATGTATGGATATGGTAATGGCACCTTAGGAATAGCAAATGAAAATATTTAGAAACCCCATATGGTAGCCCTTGCAAAGAGCTTTAAGGGGACCGGCTACCCTCCGGAAAAACTTCTATAGTTATTATTCGATCATCATGAAACTTCACATACATACGTGAAATGTAAAAATAAGAACATTTTGCTTGTATGAATTTTTCAAAAAAATTGATAGAAAACGTGAAATTCATAGAAAACGGCTAAAAAGGGGTACTTTAGAAAATCTATCTCCTCCTACAAATATCAAGACGTCATGAACGTAAATATTGGCGTACAGCGATGGCAGTGGTACCATTGGAAAGAGCAGAATTCCAGCTTTCAGATGAGCACAAAAACCGAAAAACGCCAAAATTGAAAATTTTAGGGTAGCCGGTCCCCTTAAAATGAGCCCAAACTTGTTTATGAAATGTTTCATGGTAAGAATTTATTAATGAAAAAAGCTCAAAACCATTCCTTATTATACCATTTGATGGTATCTCATGGTCTACACTGGGTTTAGCAAAGTGTGTTGTACCAAATGAATTTGCAACTTTTCTTTAAACCAGCTGCTATAAATTTGTTACTTCTTATAGAAAGCATTTTATTATAACCTTTACATGAACTGCATCAACAGAAACATTCCTTAATTACAGGGCAGTATTCTAGATGTTATTTATTTGCTTAACCACAGGTATTTGAGGCATGGCATCTATCCATAACCTGCCTCCTCTTCCAAAAAGCCTCAGTGGCCTGCTAAACTTGGTGAGCCGCAGGTCTTCCCCTACCCCGAGTGACCGCTACAGCCCACCTGCTCGGGCTGACTCCAGGACAGAGTCTCGCCAAGACCTTAGGCCTGAAGCCTTACTGGCTCCATCTTCTGTGTCCAGCGCCTTTCAGCCCTACAGTGGAGGAAGTGGTGTGGGCATCAGTGGCGGTGGTTTGAATGTAGCTTCGCCACGCAGCAGTCCAAGGTCCCTCACTGCATCACCCCGAATTATACAAGCTTTTGTTCAGGGTCAAGGCCTACCTCAGGAACACTCTTCTCGCTTCCAGATCAACCAACAGCAACAGCAGCTGCATCAACAACATCAAAAACAGTGGCAGCTAAATCAATGTGACCCTCAGAAGCATGCATACCCAAAGAAGAAAGAGCGCTGCAGGTCTCAGGAACGTCTGTATGAAATGCAGTATCAACAAGAGCACAACATTTATGCCAACAGTTTTGTACAGGAGATGCAGGCATCAGCTGAGGCAAACAAGGTTCCTGCTTGGCAGCAGCAGGTGCTGCCTCATCACAACATTACACGACTGCAGCAACAAGCACCGCCTTGGATGCAACAAGTGCAGCATCCTGCCTTCCAACAGCCTCTGCCTCAGTCACGTAGCAGCAGCAAAGGGCCTCATAAGCACCAACGTCGCAGCAGTAGTAGCAGCTTGGGGTCCAGCATGTGCACCAGTCCACCAATGATGTACCACAACATCCCACCTTCACACCCATTGCGCTCCACCCCGCCTTCTAATTTCTCTGCAAACTCCTCTTTTGGTGTCAATAACTCCCCCTTTGGGGCTAGTACCTCCCCGTTTGGTGCTGGCAGTGCTAAAAGTGGCACCAACACAACAGCTTCATCACCTGCCAGCACTGGCAAGGCTGCCACTCCTCCAGTGCCTCCACCCAAACCTCGCAGACCTTCAAGCCTCGACTCACAGATCGCCACACTCAGGAAGGAAATGGTGAGCAGAACTGCATCAATTGGCAGGGAAATAGAAAACTGCAATGCCAGGGGCTAACTAGGAAATGGTGATCAGAAGTGCATCAATTGGCAGGGAAATAAGCAACAGCAATGCCAGAGGTCAACTAGGAAATTGTGAGCAGAACTGCAGGTTTCATGTGGGGATTGTTTAGTTAAGACTATAGGTAAGTCTGCAGGAAGAAAATACTGAGCAAAACCTTAAAGGTCTCTGGGTAAATGGATTTAGACTGTATAGATCCTGAAATAAAGCTAAGCAGAACTACTATTAGTTAATGAGAGCATGCATTTGCCTTTCATTCACTGATTTAGATTATCTTTCTATTGTTGGCTGGTTCGGCTTTCAAAATAGCACTGCAGATGGAGTTTGGGTTGCAGAAAAGGTTCGAGCATTTAAGATGGCAAGGGGTAATGATTTAACTCCCAAGGCTGACCAATTGCAAGTTCCACTTGAAGAACCAATAATAGTGGCACTGGTCAGGTGACAACCAAATTTTTGGTTACTATTCGCTCTCAAATATATATTTTTTAGCAATTACTTATGCAATTACAGTAATAAAATCTTTCAATTGATGCAAGATGACTATTATGGTTTGCTGGTACAGGTGGGGCTGCGGCAAGTGGACATGTCTCTGCTGTGCCAGCTGTGGTCCTTGAATGAGTCTATCGTAGAGTTCAAGAAGCTGATGTTCCCTTCAAATGATGGGCGCACACCCACACTCCCTCGACCTCCACTCCCCAACTTCGGTGAGTGGAAACAGCGGTAGCTATTAGGGAAAAGAGCGCGCCATATCACTCCTTCCTCTCAATCCAACCTCTACTGTGGTAAGTGGAAATGGCATTTGCTAGGTTTGGGTACTACGTGCTAGCTTGTTGTAGCCCTAACATTCGCCGGCCCATGTCGTCTTAGCATTTTTTAGGGCTAGGATGGACATCCCACTCATCATCATCTCAACCTTATGAACGATGAAAATCGTTCACTAACATTTCTTGCTCGATTAATACTACCGTATTATTCATTCTCATGTGCATTTTTGTTCTTGTGAGTAAATTGTTCTGTAGCGTCTGGCGAAGCTGCGCCAGTAACATTAGCCCTTACCGCCTGATTTTCTGGGTCAAAAATCGCAAATTTCACTTTTCTGGTTTTTAGTCTCACCTTAAAGCTGACATTCTGACCTATCCAACGGTACCAAAATCATCTCAGTACGTTGATTTATGCCTTTTACATTTAAGATAGGCGAAAATTACCAGCCGGGCACATAAATAGACGGTCTGAAGACGCTGATCTTTAGTTACCCGGCTGCTATCGTGTGGGATTGTGCTCATGCAGTCGTTCCCACCATCCTTGACTGAATTTTAGCTCCAGTAACGTCTAGTCTTGTATCCATGCCACCTTGAATGCCTATTTCGAGGCGCTCTGGACTTTGTCGCGCTCTACTGAACATTCACTCTTGTAGTCACTGCAAATCTATCTCCTCCTATAGTTTTTAAGCTACATCAATGAGAGATATACCATTCGATTCTAAGAAATATACCGTTCGAATAGATCTAGAGATGGGTCGTAGCTTTTTTTCAATTTCGTTATAGTTTTGAAAATATTTAGAAAAAAGGGGACTGGATTTGAAAGGGTGGGGGGGAATCAAAATTTTTTTCGAAAAATGTCCACCCCACCCACAAAAATTAGAATTTTGAAAAAACAGCAAGGACCAATCGATATATATGGTCCTTACGCATCGAATGATATGCGTCTCGATGTTGTACCTTGATAATCCTAGGAGGAGATAGATTTCTACAGTACCCCCTTTTTGGCTGTTTTCTAAGAATTTCACGTTTTCTTTCATTTCTTTCGAAAAATTCACACGAACAAAAAAGTCTTAGATTTATTTTTTACATTTGTGTACCAAGTTTCAAAATGATCCGTTTGTAAATAACCGAAATAAAATTTCCACAAGAAATTGGAAATTTCCATTGGAAATTGGAAATTTTATTTCGGTTATTTACAGACAGATAACTTTGAAACTTGGTACACAAATGTAAAAAATGAATCCAAGACTTTTTTGTGCGTGTGAATTTTTCTAAAGAATGAAATAAAACGTGAAATTCTTAGAAAACCGGTGTTTTTTTAAAGGCGACTTGGAAGTCCGATTTGGCGGTAAAGGGTCAGAGACTTAGAGTGAGACCTTACTGCGGTAGGAGCTACTACGTAGCTTGAGGTCAGGTCTGTGTGGCTGTAGGTTGAGAAGTCAGTCGTGTCCTGCCAGCCCTACATGGAGGTTCTCGCTGAGCTCGCTCTGCCTTGCTGACTTGTGAAGTTATGCCCGAACTCTAGATATCGTGGCTGCACGCGGAAAGCTTGTTCACTCTATTTTATTACGTTAATCCTATTTTTAAAGGTACCTCTTTTAAAGTGTTCTTTACTGAAATAAGAGTCTAGTTTTATCCGTGTTAATCGAAATTTTAATCAGCAGAATCCTAGTGCAATAAAGTACAATTTAACTTTTAGCAAAGTCATCGTATTTTTACAAGATAGTTGCCGGCATTTGGCCGTAAGGGTACGTACACAGTGAAAGCAGGTTGCCAGCGTGCTGGTTACCTGCTGAGGCTGGCGCCTGAAACAAGCGCGAGAGGGTGTTCACAGAGGAAGCAGGAAACCAGCTGGAAGAAACCAGGTCTTTTTTGATATGCAGTTAAAGTAAAATTAAACCAATGTTCCCTTACCTGCACAGTTCATCTTCTTGGTAATGTCAGCCCAAAGTTTCTCAACTACAATTCGGTTAGAGTGCTCTTTACTACACTTGTCCCAAGTGGGTGTTCGCGCATACACCTCTGTGATTAATTGATCACTGCCGATGCTCATCATGTGTTATTACCTCTCAAAAATCCCTCCAACTGAGTGCAAAAAAAGAAAATGGAGGGTTTAAAGGTACAACTAATAAAAAAAATGACCATATGCCAAGCAGGATGAGCAGATAAGAATGTGCAGTACATTCCGGTAAATAGGTATAAGCAGGTTGTCGGCAGAAGCCTATTCGTACAGGTTTTCACTGTGAACACTTACATTATTATCCTATGTTCATTCTTGCGGCAGGTTGGAGCAGGTTGCCCGCGCGGGCAAACCTGCTTTCACTGTGTGCGTACCCTAAGGCTCGAGACATTCTGACGAGTTTAAAGGTTGCGGCAAACGTCCCGTGACAACCTCAAATTGCGCAGTCGAAATTAGTAATTTAAACAATTGTAGGCGCGTCTCCCGCTCTTCCCATTCTCCCCCATCCCAACTTTAAAAATTGAAAATATTCTGAGCATTTCTGGAACCTGGAGGAATATACAGTAGAGAAATATCTCGGTAATCCCACAAGAATCTTTCAATAATACCTTATGAATGCCTCAGTTCTCGATCAGTAAATACCAGTAGGTACTACCTAAGTAATCCATCAGTAATACCTTAGCCTCAAAATCTGTTCCGAACTGCTTGTTCGTGGAAGGCCTACAAACATGTAATGTAGGCAACTATGAAAAACTCCCATGCTCTCTTCTTACATTCAAAAAGCTCAAAATTATATGTTTATTCACTTTTTTATTAGTGATTTGATCGCTAATGCTTTCGTTTGTTGATTGGTTGAGCTACACAGCACTAGCGATTAAAGCTTTTAACGTGTTTGTACCTTCTATGTTGCCTAATCTATTAAGGCAGTTACCGAGTCTTTGAAGTGCGCAAAGAGTTAAGTTGGTTTGTACATTTCAGGTAGTGGATTCATATTCACATGTCATTTTATTATTTTGTGATGATATTCATATGTCATCATACTCTCACGCAATCATATTCCCTCGTCTTCATATGATGATGTTGTCAGTTTCTCATGTGATGTGTTATTAACATGTTGGTGACGTGCAGGCGACACGTCTGCGGACGACACAGACGACTACTACGGCATCCCCGCCCGCCGGCCCGTGTCACTCAAGCCTTTCTTGCCTGCGACACGCGCCTCGCCCTCGTCATCAGAGAGCAGCAGCAGCCTCGACTATGGGGACATCTAGCTGCGTGGGCGCCCCCTCGGGGCCACTCTTGGGGTCCCTAGGGGCGCCGACGAGACTCTTGGGGCTCCTCAAGGTGTCATGGAAATTCTTGGGGACTCTTCGCGGGTTGGGGATATTTCAGGGAGCCTTGTTGAGCGGCCTGGTGACGTGCGTAGAGCATCCGCGATTGTCAGGGACACTCCTGATGTCCAACGAAAGTCCGTAGATTCTTATGGATCCCCACATTCTGCTCACCCCAGTCATGCGGCTGCAGGGGATGCTTCAAATGACGCCAGAACCTTGATGCCTTCCAGGGGTGCCGGTCACTCTGGGGTGACGCCACGTAGGAGAAACGTCAAGGATCGCAGGACGTCTTCTGCCAAGGAACGCAGCGCCGACACTGGTAAGACGTTCCTCCGCAACGTCTTCAGCGACCCCGGTGGGAAGCTGTCCGTAGTTAATGCCAAAGTTGCAGCTGGAGGGAAACTTACTAGGAAGGAGGGGGAAACTGCCAACGGTTCGGTGAGGCATCGCACGACGGGTGTGGGGGAGTCAGCAAGCGAAAGACTTTCCCCGACGTCGAAAAAAGGAACGAAAGCTCGCGGTCGCCGCAGCCGCGACACCAGCGGCACCGACAGCGGCAACAACGGGCGCGACGAGAGCGACGTCGCCAACAGAGAAGTGCGTGCCATCCTGGCGCACGCGGCCGACGACGCAGACCCGCGCAGTTACCAAGACTTGCAGGGACGAAGAAACGCGGACGAGGCGCGGCCTTGCAAAGGCAAGCGAGACGAGAGCGATGACAGACATGCGAGCATGTATGACGACAAGAGTTTGTCTGCTAGCGACAAACGTCCTCTTGAGAAGAGAAAAAGCAGCGACAATATCGGCCGCCATTGTGACAGTAGCTCTGAACCACGAAATCTCTTTGGGGCAACGCTGCTGGAGGGCAGCGACCAGTCCACGCCTAATAAGAAAGAGCAGCTGGCGTGCCCTCAGGAAAATATCGTGGCTGGTCATAGAAGTTCTGACGTGAGTGTTGGTCACGTGAGCTCCAGCATAACGGGTAAGACTGATACTCGTGCTCTGGTCGCGGCAGGTGGAAGAAATGACTGTAAAAATCCTGTATATGTTACGGAAGTGGCGGCAGGACGTTGCTATGACATCAGCTCCATCATGTCGGGTCGGGGGGTGTTCAGGGTGGGTGGGGGTGCCTCTAGGGGTGAAGTCACCAAGACGAAGGACGAAGACAGTTACATTGGACCCGACGAGGATGAGGATTGCACGACGCAGTGTCCTGTCGTCACCGAAATCATGCGCACGAACGTCGGTTGCGGTAAGGCGATGCCTGTTGACGTCTCCACGACGGCACGTGACGCTGGCGCCATGTTGCCAGGAGAACTTCGCGAGTCCCGCGTTGAAGTGTCAGATCCCTGGCGGGAGTTCCTGGCGTCAGACTGGTTCGCGGGGACGCCGCCTCCCGACTCTGTGCTGACGCTGGACGAGGCTGGCGACGACAGCAGCGTCGTCAGCGCTGACGGTGACGGCATCTTTAGCACTGCCGTCAGGAGCTGCTTCTGCTCCCCCTGGCGGGTGCCTGTCGCTCACATGTGAATATTGAAGTGAAATGTTGAGAATATTGTTCTTCTCAGCCGGTGACAGGAAGGGGAGATTTTATGGAGATGAACCAAGATTGTGCCCCGTCGACATAATGTTACTCGCGCTGCAAACCATTTAATCTACGCCCGACTACGCGATGCGACAGTAGCTGGGCCAACACGCCGCTGGTCAACCCACCTGGGCCCGAACATGAGTGAAATGAAACGTCGGCCTGTCGTAGGAGAGGCCCACATGGCGTACGAGAGGCCCACATGTCGTAGGAGAGGCCCATGTGTCGTAGGAGAGGCCCACATGTCGTAGGAGAGGCCGGCCTGTTTGATATCAACAGAGCTTCCACTCATCAGCTCTGAGGCAAATGCTGAACTCAGGAGTTAATTTCCTCATACGTTTACTGAATATTGAAGTGATAACTTGTTTATTGGAGACAAGATTTGGTTATTGAACCAGAAGCTGTTGTTTATTGAACTTAGAAACTAGTGTGTCGCATCTAATTTATTATCAAGATGGCGGGTTTCGACGGATTAATATTAGTGAGCAATAAAGTTAGACATTTGCTTGACAAGACATTTTGCGATCTTGCGAAATGAAGGCCCGCGTAGTTCGATGATCCAGCACACCGAAATGTTCCTCACAGCGACGTCCAGAATATGCACATGAAAGACATGTCTGTATTGATTTGTTTGCTTCTACTTTCGTTTGATATGAATGCATATTTATTCGAGTGTCTACTCTTCCATTTGATAAGGTATATTTTTGTTTGTGATGAAACGTTATCACTTGCCTTGTTATGGGTCAAATGCAGCTATAATGCATGAACATTTAGTAACGTGTTACTTAAGTTAAGGTCAGTGTTTATCCTAAGTGTGAACATGAGTAATTCGTGTCGTAATTAATATATTAGGAATTGCCCAAGTGCTACGTGACCGAGCAATAGCAAGTGCAATAACCGAGCTCTAGTATTGACTGTTACGCTACATAATTGCTAGTATTAGGTTTGTGTGTAGGAGTGTATGTGTACTTTAGTCCAATAATGTATAGATCGTCACTCTTGGTAGACGAATGAATTATCATAATTTATCAATTTCTTGCGTTCAAATTCTTCACGCCGCAGGGCTATGGCCACCTCAGTTGTGTGTAAATTGAGCCGGAGATGGTCGCCGCTGGTCAACCCATTTTTGTTACATCGGGTGCTACTTTTTTTATAATGTTCCTTGAAAAATACATCAATAAGATTATGGTTTCTGTTTCTTAGATGATTCGTTTATTGTAAGTTTTTTGGCTATCACAAATTCTGGGGTAATCGCAAAGTTCTCCGATAATCACAATTCTTTGATGACAACAAATTTTTTATGGTCGCAAGTTCTTTGTCAATTGTTTGTGAAGTTTTGAAAGCCCCATACATGGTGCTGAGTTGTCACAATTGCATTGAAGATAAACTAACATTTCCACATTACCCAAATCGCCTCTGGTGCGCGGGAAAACCTACTAGTGTTTCTTCGTATAGAAGGGATACGAACATTCCAAATAAGCTCCGTGAAAAGTTTTGCATCTCACCCCAATCACTATATATAGTCGCAATTCAACAAATCGCCGTCGATGTTTTATCCTCAGTGGACATGACGGGGTCCAAGCAAAACAACAGTTAATTCATTCATTTGTCTTGGACGTTTCTCAGTTCTCGATTAGGTGATCGAACGTTGATTCTAAGGAGATAATAATCCTTGGTCAGGGGGACCTATTTATCGTTCTAAGTACCAAGATTGGAGTGTGAGTTGAAAGTTTTTTCTCGGCTTCCTGTGCACGTTTTGGTCGTGACCGGGTTCAGCGATTTGTGGGGTGTGAAACGCCAGCAAGCTGTAACTACTCTAGAATTTGCAATAGGATAGATTTTTAAAATTCACCGCCGACGCCACTTTTAATGTAATATGACAAGTAAACATATCGCGGCGTAGGCGAGACGAGTGACAGTTGAACGATCCTACATTGTGTAAAGCTCTGATGGCGTGGCACCCGAGGCGATGAGGGCTGACCTCGCGTTATTTCTGTTGAAGTTATTATGTTCCCGACATAATCGTTACAAACTTTAATTTCTATAGCTTTTAAGAATAATATTGATTAGCTTGACTTGAAGATGTTCGTATTGACTTGAAGATGTTTTCGTGATAGGTGCTGAGGCAGCAGCCGCCGCTATAGTGATAATACCAAAGATACTCTCGTCTCTAGTTCTTGCGTCGAATTTACCTATATTATCTTCATGATTTATGCTCATTGAATTTACCTATATTATGTTCATGATTTATTCTCATTGAATATACCTATAATTATGTTCATGATTTATGTATTTTGTTCTTATATCTTCGTTGTATTTGACAACTGTTTGTTCAGGATAAATGTTTATTGAATTCATTTATATTCTCACTAAATGTAACAACACGTAGTTAGTGTTCTGTGCAAATTGATTTATCAATGTTATGTTAAGGTTTCACATTCATTGAATACCGTTGCCCAGCGTACATAGTTTCTTCTGTTACCTGTTGTCTCAGGAGTGGGTGAGAGACATGACAACATCCTGTTACATTCTGTAGCCGCGCAGTTTGAGCCTCAGCTCTGGTTGTATTGAAGGTTAATTAATGTATATTGCGTATATAATATTACAGTGTGACAACATTACTCTAAGACATTCAAGAGTACATTATTGGCTCAGGTATTGCAAGCAACGCGCTCAGATTGAGGAACATTCCAAGTTTGATTTGCAGGTCTAAACAAACCTTAAGAATTTACTTATCGACTTTAGTTGAAATAATAGCCTGATAAGTGGCATCGATAAACAGTTTGACTCGTGACCACAACCTAGTACATTATTGGTCCGAAACTACGTGTGACGTCACACAGTGATTGCTTGACTGATGAACACAAAGATAATTTGCAATGGCCTTTATAGGCTCCACCAACACCATCTGCTCATCACCCCTCAACCCTCAACAGCTCATCACCCCTCAACCCACAACAGCTCATNGATCCTCTCAGTGTTCGGACGTTGTGGTGAGGGCGGGTGTAATGATGCTCTCAGTGTTCACTAGAAGGGAACAGTAATGCGCTGTTCAGGACCTCGCCAGTGTTCGGTGAGTTGTTCAGCGGACACACTGGTCTCCCCGCCGCATGCGCCGCCGTTTGTATTCAGGTTGTGCAATAAACGTACAAAGTAAAGCGAGTTTTATTACCCCACATAGTTATTGTATTGGATAGTTAGTCTATTATATTCGCCTTACCACACATCTCACCCTATCAGAAGTTTAGGACCAGCGCATAGTCCTTCATTGAATCCTCTCATATTTTACTCCTACCATTATCCCCAGAACTAAGGATTTTTCTCCTGAATAATCTACTCCATCCGCTTGTGGGAAGCTCTGCATCGCTCAGCCGAACCGCATCACCAACTCAGGCTACTGAGCGTGCGGTTAAATGTGATAATAATGCGAATTCTGTATAAATAATTATGTACTGTGCAGTGATGATAAAATGTAATGTGAACATATTAGATACCTAGACATTCGTTATTTTTACCTGATGCGGGTGCATCGAGTTGGTATTAGATTATTATTTTTAAATAGCTGTTTGGAGTGCTAGCGAACGCTGCGTTAATCAAGATCTAATTAACGTCAGTATTTGGATAATTAAGGCGAGCGACCTAACTGCGCCAGCGCCTTAAGATAATTAGGAATAGAAGAAGATGAAATGAAATTAATATGATAAGTTCTCCTAAAGGTGTATATATTTTAGATGGTAGGAATATTGATTCGAGACGACGGAACTGCAAATATCATTTGTTGCGTTCCGGGCAAATCTCTGCTGCGCTGCGACGCTGTCTGCGTACGTAGATCTGGAGCATTTGTTGACAGGAGCATTGTTGACAGGTGTATTGTAGTTGACAGGAGCATTGTTGTTGACAGGTGTATTGTAGTTGACAGGAGCATTATTGTTGACAGGAGCATTGTTGATGCTCCTGTCAACAATAATGCTCCTGTCAACAACAATGCTCCTGTCAACAATAATGCTTCTGTCAACAATAATGCTCCTGTCAAGAATAATGCTCCTGTCAACAACAATGCTACTGTCAACAACAATGCTCCTGTCAACAACAATGCTCCTGTCAACAACAATGCTCCTGTCAACTACAATGCTCCTGTCAACTACAATGCTCCTGTCAACTACAATGCTCCTGTCAACTACAATGCTCCTGTCAACTACAATGCTCCTGTCAACAACAATGTTCACCTAAATTACTCCAGATAACTGACCCATGTAACTAAACTCATGTCACTAGACTCACAACTGACCGACGGCATTTGACTCACGCCATGTGTCTCACAACGCGTGACCTGGGAATCACGACTAAACAAAATGGTAAATACAATCGATAAACTTTCAATCCGATAATTAATGATCCAGTGTATATAATGAGAGATAACGAGGACACTACTGATCACTTGGAAATATTTGGGTTTATAAAGCTGATTTTCTATTGAAGGTATGGCGACCGATGATAGTAGCGGGTCAACAGACTTACACTTAGATTAAAATTATTATACGAACCTGAACAGCTGTAATGTTCGATAACAATCCGTCATTCTATCAATCTCTTTTGTTCATACAAAACAAAGGACGTCTCGACCTAATGCGTGTCATCCTTGTCTTTGCTTTCTTCAATCGAAGCTCAGAAAGTGAGTTGTCTAGAAATGATCAACAGAGATGTATTTACTGAAGAACTTCAGCACGAATTAGAAATAAATAAAAGCTATTTTATTTGTTTCTAGGCACGATTATGGTTAATGAATAATCCAAAGAGATTTAAGAACTGACTGGAACTCATCTTCCCTGTTAGCAGCATTCTGTACCAATGCCACAGCATCCACTCGTACCACCAGTTGTCGTGTAAATCGCTGTGAATTTTTTCATCATTTTCACGTTTCTTCAGAGAACTCCAAAAATGAAGTGCGTGTTTTCCATGCACAAGCCAACACGTTCGACGACGCGGCCTTCAAAGCAACCACATTGCGGAACAAATGCAGCGCTGACGCCAAGTTCCCTAGCCGCGTACCCAACGTGCAAGAACTTCACCATGAAATATTTGAACACATAGGCGCCTGTACACGGGGACAGTACAGGTCGCCAGTTCATCCGCCGCTTGAACTGTCCACGCTACTGTCCTCGTGTGTAGGGGTTCAGCAGCTTCGATCAGAAGCATGTGCCCGACACGAGGCTGAGAGGGACAACGATGTGTTGTTTTCTTCGCTGGAGAAGCGGCCAGTCGAGCTAATTCAGCCATGGTGAGAGCATCTGTGTCGCTCTTGTGAAGTATCTTGGGTCAAGTGAATCATGTCTTGTTCGAACGATAATGGTTCTACTAAGAACCCAACAGAGTGGAGTTTAGACAATATTCAATTGTTCTTTGATATTTTCCAAAAATATGAATTAATCTGGAATGTTGACCATGCTGGTTACTCCTACAAAATGAAGAAGATTTTGAAACCGAGAGAAGACCTTATTAATCAGGGTTTAGTTGTTCCCGACGCTGCATTTTTAAGGGCTAGAAGAAAGAGTACAAATACAACGTACAGACTAGAGTTGTTGATGACCTCGTGACCCCGCTACCCATTTTCACAGACCTCACTCGACGGCTGCTAACGACGCACTGGTGGACGCGAACGAGAAGATATCGCCACCTTATACTGTCCTCGTGTACAGGCTTACTTGCCGGATAGTCACCAAGCAGCCGACACTTACCAGATCTACTTGCCGCCTGCACACCTGCACTGTCCCCGTTTACAAGCAAGCACCTTAATTGAAAATATTTTCGTGCTTACTCACTTCATCAACCTACTTCATATTTCTACCATTATAAATCTTGCATATACTCCACAGTAGAAATTAAAAAAACCGATCAATAGCCGTGAATATTTCGTTCGTTGAAAAAATATCAAAAGAAATCCTGACAATAATAACCACGGCAACAAAAAAAGATCATCATCGCCATGGATATCTTAACCGACTGTCCCATATTCCAGGCGAGCCTCTTCTTCCTGTGTCTTCTTACTGTAGTTCTTCAATAAGGAGGCGGCATAGAACATTCACCTGAGCAAGTATAAGTGAACCTCTCCTCTCTGATTGCGCACCAAATTCTCGTACTTATCGCCAGCATAAATGCTTCCAAGAAGTACTCCCATTAATGTTATTTTGCACTGTGTCAGTCAGGCAAAAAATTACTAGAAACGAGATTAACCGAACGTCAGAATTAACATACCTTATGATCACTGTAAATAATCCTGGATTGATTTCTTATAGGTTCGTAGGGTACAGTATAGAAGACACGGTTTCGGAGTTTGTTACTTATTTACCAGTTTTTGAAACAATACAAAAACTAAAATGAGGAACAAATTTCAATGATGACTTACTTCGTATTCCAACTATAAGTAAATCATGAATCATATATAAACAATTATCAACGAGTTCTCATCAAATAACTGGAGCTATGGCGTAAATAAATCTCAGCTGACAGACGACTATTAAATGAATTGGCGAATATACATGAAAGCTTTTGCTCTAGAGTAGTCGGCCTAAATGAAATGAGGATGCTTTTAACAATCACCTTCATTATCAACGTTCTTGCCCTATATCGAACCGATTTACTGGATGTATCCTACACTATATTATCTAATTTCGAATATAATTCAAAGAATCATATCGATGAATGTTTAAAGAATGTTGTCGATTCTTCAGTTCGTTAATTTCAGTAAAATTAAACTGCATTTCGGGCATTATTAATCGTTTTCTAACAAATTAATTGGACAAAACGTAAGCAGACGATCCTGAAGCGCAATATTAAATCATTCAAAAGAGCACAGCTTCTTTATTGAAGGATTATTTTTATTTGTGATAATGTATAACGGTACCGCATTTTGACGAAAACATTGACTGCTGATTTTCGAATTTAAATATAGCCAGTGAATCAATTATCAGAATGCAGCATATGGGAATTTTGTCCAGTAGCGCGTCTGTTGGTGGAAATTTCGCACGCCATTAGCCAGGTTACCGCCAGGTGGCGGCCGTCGGTCGGCATGTGCTTGATATAAGCCTCTGCACCTGCTGTCACAGGCGACACATTTGACAGTGACTCTATCGTGGAGGTTTTATTCTAGCGCTTCAAAATTCTTTCAAGTTTCGTACGCCTGAGAATGCTAGTTCTTAGAAAAAAATAAACGTAAATCGCGCCACAAAGATGTCCATTGATGATACGGGATTGTACACAATTGTAGGCGTACACAATTTTTTCTGTTCATACACGACCCCTCACTCTTGAATCTCGTTGGGCGATTGTTAATAAGTTTGTGTTCATTAACCTGAATGAAACTTCAACCAAGTTTCATCATAACTTTCCACGCACTGAAGCTTCTCGTGGATTTAAAAAGGACGGAGATGACAGTTTTAAAATGAAAGGAAACTCTGTAATTAAAATCAGTGTCAATTTGTGAATCAGCTTGAATCAAATTCTATGCTGGCGAACATTCGATCAGCTTCTTCTCAATCGTAGAGTTAACATTCAACTTCAATTGCAATATTCTTTACATCATTGTGCGCGGCGTGGTATGGATCCTATCGTTTATCAGTGTGGAATTAATAAGTTTTTAGGAGCAAAGTTTGCATTTTTTTAAGGTAATGCAGTTTAGCCATGTTACAGTACAGTCAACCTTACAATCGACCTAAATTCTTTTATGTATGTGAACATGATAAACAGGCTGTCGTACATGATCAACCGTGTACGACAGCCAAAATAAATAGAGAACATTCAAACTGTTATCTGCTTACAGCGCGTTGCGTTTGGTCTGACCGCTTTATCAAACCAGCTGCTAGGTTCAGTTCGGGCCCGCGGGTGACCTCGGACTTTTCTGTATTATCAAGCCGCTTGACTGATAAAATTACCCCACAGCTAATAATAAATAATGATTCCATGTATAGATTATATAAAAAAAACTTAACCATCCGCTACACAAATAAACCCCTTATGAATTATATTTGCATAGAAGATAAATTACACTGAATGATCCACGGTAACCAAAACTTGGTAGGGATTAATTAATGAGTCTAAAATGTTTGAAAAAAAAAGAATTCGAAACATTAAACTCATCATGAAAAGCTTGTTCATATTTATTACTAAAAAATGTGAAACTCGAGTACAGTTTGCGATTATTCTATTCCGTTTAATTTTCAAGGTCCGACTTCTACCATAAAATATTTGAATGCACCATCTTGTGAGAGCTGCGGGGATTCAAGATGTGCTGAACAGCGAGAAGAGTACAGTAAGTGCGTGCAATCCAGGGGCCATACTTTCAAAATTCGCTAAGTGAACGTAAGTACTTACGCTCTATTTTCTTGTCTATGATTGGTGGATTTTGCTGTAAAGGCCGTCAATTATTGGCTGATGAACTTACGATCTCTTAACTTTTTTGAAAGTATAGGTCCAGGAGCTTAAGTAGGCGGTAATATTGAGGCGCAGCAACGTACTGGAGAGACGCATCGTGCTGGTCAAGGCGATCAAACACGAGCGATCATAACTATACACGGTAAACTACCTTCCTTCCAAAAGTTCATTCAATGGGTGAGGCACTCTTCAAATATGTGTAATATTTACTTATTAGGATAAATAATTGCCATATCAAAATTAAATGTAATGACATATCAGGCTGCCCGATTATTATTTTCGCAGGCAGTATTAGTTTCCCGCAGACATGATGATCGCGAGAAGAACGATACTAGTGCTCGCGGTAGCCTTTCTGGGGACTTTGGTCGAGTCCACGTACCACTCGCGGCCGCTGGTTCCCAGCAACGTCAAGGTCTTCCCCACAGCGCGGGCAGAAGGTGAGAGATACCAGGCAGGACTTTTGCCATATTGTTTTGAGTTCATATCAATAATTCTATTTTCAAACGTTGGGTCAATATCAATATGTGAAGTCGAAAAAGAAACCTAATTAAAATTTTTTTACTCTCAAACTTGCCTGGATGATGGCACGTGTCAAGATATAATCGAAAATTCCATTTTCAATTAGTTTTAAGTAAAAATTATTCGTATTCACATTTGCTTTCTTGAAAATAGATGTGTATCAGCTTTCGATGCCACATAACTCTTGAACTTCTATGGTCGTAGAAGAAAATACAACCATACGGCACGCGCACGGTTCTCCTCAGGCACCAGTTGAGAGTCGGGAAGGAAATTCTGACCTGCCGCATATCTTGATTGTGTGGCCAAACAAACTGTGTTTGCTATTTTGACTTTATTTTTATCTTTATTCTATTGACGCACTTTGTGTGGCACCAATCTGTCGTCAGTGTCAATATTCCCTCCCGTGTGTTGTATGGGAACACATAAAAATTTACGGAAATGCAGAAGACACATTTTCTCAACATAATGCCGAAGGATAAAACAGAAAAAAGGGAGTATTTAATCTGAGTCCAAATGATTACACTTCATCCCGCAGATCAAGCTTTTTGGTACGCCGAAGCGCAGAACGAAATTGCTCAGAGCCTCGCAAGGACCGAGAATAACAACGTTGCAAAGAATGTCATACTCTTCCTGGGGGACGGCATGAGCGTGGCTACCATCACCGCTGGCAGGTGAGTTGCGAATATGTGAGGACGGCCCACGGTTAAATTTACATCCGCTTCCGATCTTCGTGTGAATAGTCTGCGTCCGATCGACACAGACTATTGCATGTGCGGTCTGATCGCTCACATGCAATATAGTATGTGTCCGATCGACAAAGACTATTGCATGTGCGGTCTGATCTCTTTCACCAGAATAAATTCTCAACCCAATTTATTTTTTTAGGCGCGTAACGCGTCCAAATTAAATAGCCACTACTTGTGAAAAGGATTGGCTTTCAGTGCAGATGACAGAAGTGGAGAACAAGCGCATGGACTAAACCGACCTTGCTATGAGGCAGGGCACAGGTCCACCTGCCATTCTTGGGCAGGCACAGCTTTCTGCTATGAAGTGCACCTTTATCAACAGTCAGAATGTAACACGAACTACAACGCTTTAGATAACGCACGAAGCTCTGCTTATACGCTAAGAATAATCTATCGCCTGATACTCTCTGGCAGTGCAGAAGGAAATCAATTCAGGAATGATGGATATTTTAGGCATGTCCCTCATGCCATTTAATTGATGTTACAACAAAGGCAGGAAAAAATACCATAGGTGCGCAATCATTTCATTACCTGTCGCTAAGATTTCGACGTAAGCGATTGGAGAAGAGATACCTGCCCAAAATTCACTGTGTCTATGAACGCGTGCTGCGGTGCCCACTGCCCACTTGAAATTCGTAGTCTGCACAGGAATCAGACCCCTCGGACATAGACACGCCGGCTGACTGGGATGATTTCAAAATAACTTCGTGGGCTCGAACACTGCTCCGAATGTTGGTCATAAGTGATCGGCGTTCTAGTTTTGGAATTTGGTTAATGTTGTAACGTGTTAATTTGTCGAATTGATAAAATTTCCTCATAAGCTATCTCGATGCAACAACTGCATGACGCCATTTTTTCTTCGACCTATCAGATGTTACACAGCTTACAAATACGACACTGTTGACAGTTCGATTTAAATCACGATGTTTTTCCTTAGCAGCCATTACTACTGAAGGAAGAATTTGCTTGGATATGCAAATTTTCGTGTAAATCGTCTTCATCGCGGCGTTGAGGACGGTTAAAACACCGGTTGAAACACTACCAATAATCTCTACTTACCACATAGTAGTCTTTGAGAAACTAATATAAAATATATCTTCAGCAGCAATCACTGATCACGCTTGTGAATTGAGTTAGTGTCAGGTAATGGAGTTACGATTCGTTTTCTGACAAGTTATATGTGAATAACATGTCAGAATTTAATTTCTTGCAGAATTTACAAAGGCCAACAGCTCGGCCAGAGCGGCGAAGAATACAAGCTCGTGTGGGAAGATTTCCCTGATCTTGCCATGATCAAGGTGAGGGTCTCGTGCCGTCATGATCAAGGTGAGGGTCTGATGCCGTCGTGATCAAGGTGAGGGTCTGATGCCGTCGTGATCAAGGTGAGGGTCTGATGCCGTCGTGATCAAGGTGAGGGTCTGATGCCGTCGTGATATGCTTCCTTCCTTCAGTTCAACAACTTTCAGGATCGAGTTTATAAATACGTATATAAAAGTTTACTAATTGTTTAGGTCGAACGATACAATTTCGAAACAAATAATTTCACGTGCAATAGGTAGCAAATTATAAAATTTTACGATTTTATGTCATCAAATTAGTTGTTTGGAGTAATTTAAAATTTTCGTTCCTTTCTTGGCTAGTTATGTAATTACTTGACCCGTGTAGCTCTTCATCAGATTCAGTTTTCCTGATTTTCAATTTCTTGCCGCCAGACGTACGATGTAGACAGGCAAGTGCCCGACAGTGCCTCAACCGCCACGGCTTACCTCTGCGGCGTTAAGTCCAATTATTACACAACAGGTACGATATTTTGCTCTATTTTGTCATATTGCATGATCCTGCATACCATAAAATTTTGTTCAGCTATCATTATATGCGACCACACCAACCATCTAATGAATAGCTGGTTTTCACACACTGCACCCCAACAATTTTTTATTAGCAATCGCGTTAAAATATAATGCATAAAATATAATGCATTCCGTAACTTCACTCGTCATAATGTATCATTCATCTATTATATATGCCATTTCAAGTTGAGAAACGGCCGTTGTCTCTTAATGGTTATGCCTCAGGTACGATATCCTCCATGACAGCAGTAAAAGTGTCACTCTACGAGAGCTTCCGATGACCTCCCTAGAATGACGGCAGACGAGAGTACATATATAAAAACATATTTTCGTTCGTTCAAACCCTCGCAAAAATTTAGAATCGGTGCTTAGACAAGAACGTGATTAGAGTATTTGACTTTAAGCATTATTATCTCTCATGCTTTAATCAGGGGAGCGTCTGGCCAAAATTTTTGAATTTTGGCTTCTCCGGTCTCATTTTAAGGGGACCGTGTAGGTCAAAATCTATTTCCTATATTTAGGGAAGGTTTTGGAGATATTTTTATCTCCAAACTTGGTACTCATATGTAAAATCGAAAATGACGACTATTTTGTTCATGTTAATTTTTCGAAAAAAAATGGAAGAAAACGGCCAAAAAGGGGGTACTCTAAAAAAGTTTATAACTGTTGCAAATTACATCGAAACACGTATCATTCGATGCGTAAAGACAATATCTAGCGATTGTCGGGCCACTTTTTAAATTTTTTTCTTTGTTCTCATGTTATGAGGATTTTTCTGAAAAATTTCGAATTTTCGAAATTTCCCCCAATCCCCCCCCTCCCATTTTGCAATATATAATCCAAATTAAAACGAAATAAAAAATGGCTCGACAATCGCTAGATCTTTTTTTAAGAATCGAATGGTATATGTTTCACTGCTGTACCTTCAAAACTCTAGGAGTTATGAAGTTTGCCGTGACAAAAAGTGCGAATGTTCAATACAGCCCCACAAAATCCCGCGCGCATCCGAATTGCCACTCAATGTAGCAAAGATACGAAACTAAACGTTACTGGAGATTGTACCAGTCAATGATGGTGGGAGCGACTACATGTACACCTCCCCGTTCAACGACAGGAGGGTGACTGAGCTTCACTCCGAGTAGAGACTCTATTTATAGTCTGGGCAGCGAATTTCCTCCTGTCTTATTTCTTAAAGACCCCCCACCCCCCCCCTTGCGGAATCTCTAGTGAACGCATAAATCAACGTACAGAGATGGCAATGGTACCGTTGGATAGCTCAGAATGTCAGCTTTAAGATGAGACTAAAAACCGGAAAAGCCAAACCCGTCGATTTTGGACCGACACGGTCCCCTTAAAGCTGATCTGCTCTATCCAACGGTACAAAAATCAACTCTGTACGTTTATTTATGCGTTCACGACAGATCGCGAAAGGGTGGGAGGTGGTGGAGTTCTTTCACATTAAAGATAGGCGGAAATTCCCGGTAGCATACTTATGCTTCAGTTACCCGCCTGCAGATGTACGGGAGGGATTGCGTGTCGTCGTTCACACCATCCTTGACAGGAATTGAGCTTCAGTATCGCCTAGTCTTGCATTCTTGCCACCTTGAACGCTTATTTCGAGGCGCCCGGGACTTTGTCGGGCTCTACTGAACAATTAACTTATTGTCACTGCAAACCTATCTCCTCCTACAGTTTTGAAGCTACAGCGATGAGACATATGTCATTCGATTCGCAATTAAAATATCTACCGATTTATGGTAGATTTTTTCAATTTCGTTATAGTTTTGAAAATATTTGAATAAAAGGGGGGGTAAAATAAATAAAAAGGGGTAAATCGAAAAAATGTCGAACATTTTGAAAAAAATGCTCCCCCATCCACAAAAATTCGAATTTCGAAAAACGCTACCATAAATCGATAGATATGGTCTTTACGCATCGAATAATATGCGTCTCAATGTTGTAGCTTGAAAATCGTAGCAGGAGATAGTTTCTACAGTACCCCCTTTTGTGGTCGTTTTCTGAGAATTTCACGTTTTCTTTTATTTATTCGAAAAATGGACATGAACAAAAGATGTATATTTTTCGGTTTACAATGGTGTACCAAGTTTCAAAGTGATCCATCTGTAAACAGCCGAGAAAAAAAAGTGGCCAGACGCTCCCCATAATGTGGAATTTGATTTCCTCAGTTCGAGGTGGCTTAGTGATTATAAGATCACCAAGATTGGAGCAGCAAGATTTCGAGACTCACTGCTGGTTTTGAAAATTTTAGTCGAAATCAACAAAGTGGACGGGGGGGTTAAAATCGGCTATTGCAAACATCAAACATGATATAAAAAGTCTAAAACTATTACTATATATAACTGAAAAACCTTTTGGGATGTGCCTTCTCGTTGCAGGAGTTGATTCATCGGTCAAATTGGAAGATTGTATGTCAGTCACGGAGGAGAGCAAACTATCCTCAATCGCAGTGTGGGCGCTGGAAGCCGGCAAACGTACTGGTGAGTGTGTTCCTGGAGTTGACACTAGTAGTAGCCACGAGTAGTAGCCACTAGTACCACGAGTAGAAGTCGTGCTACTTTAGCGCGATAGGTTTCAGCGAATTAGGTTACGGTATGAGATGAGAATTATGGGAGATGAGTTGGTCAATAGCGGAACCTGCGAACCATTTTATTTTAGACAAGCACACTAGCAATAATAGTAGGATGAACACAGCAATGATCGACTACTCTCAAGCAATTTAAGTTTATTTAAGGCTAGTATAATCATGTTATCACTCTATATTCTAGTGAAGCTTCGTGAAAAAATGAATAATGGAAGCAGTGACATAGCCTCCAAATTTTCTACACTAGCGAAAAGTTATATGATTTGAATTGCCCGTTCGTCCCAGGCGGTGAAAATTACATAGAACCTGAAATATCATGTGGGGGACCCGCACATAAGCCACAGTACAGTAGTCTTCCAACAGAAATAAACGCGGCATCATGAAAGTTTTTCTTGATTACAAATAAGGAATTTTTAGGAACTTGGAATCAGTCTAGCCCCTTGAGTAGTTCCTTAAGTAGTAGCAAAAATAAAGAATGAAGTCCATAGATCGAGATAACGTTTCTCAACTGACAGTTGCCTATTTAATTCAAAGATATTGGCTTATTATATACATTTACTTACCCAGTGACCTTATTAAGCACACACTAATGTCTGAAGACACGTTCACAACGGGGATTTTTCTAGGGTGGCAGCGGCAAGATAATAGGTCACTATCCAGCCACTATTGCCTTAGAACTGCTAAGTCGAATATCAGTTAGTGATTTGGCGTGTGGCAGACTGTTGTATTTAATTTTTATTTCGACATGCTCGGAATTTAGGATTATTATGCGACTATCAGAGTCTATTGATTATGAAACTGGCCACTAGGTTTTTACTGACTTAGCGATGTGAGTTACTGCAGTGCAAGTCGGAATATCGTCCTAGATTGCTGGTATTGGCATGTTATAGATATAGATAACATTTTAGCTAAGGACATTCCTGAAATTCAAATTCTACGTATCTAGGTTGGTTCAAGGAATAAAATTTAAGGTGAATATTTTACGGTCGTTCGCAGGTTCACTCAGACTGCCTGTTCAATAATGATTGCTCTTCAGCCAGACCCATTCACACCAAACAAATGATCTAATTATTGATTATCACAACGTTTTCACAGTAGTTAGTTTCCTCCTCAAAACCTGTGTACTTCAAAATCTTTGTGATTACTACTGCCATGCGAAGTCAAATCTTGAGTACCGAAGTAATTTAATCTCTAGCCAAGCGAGGTCAATATAACTGTTACTAATTCTCTTATTTTAGCTTCCACAATTCGAAGAATGCACCACTATTTTATCTGGTAATTCAGCGTGTGAAAATCACAGCTTTGAATGAAGACCAGTGTATTTAGCAATATTGCTTGCACTGATGAGTATGCCTAAATAATACTTCCGATCAGGCGTTCATTCATAAGTTCATCATTACCTATTTTTAAAACTGTTTCATGGTCCAAATATTTTCTTGTAAAAACCATAGTTTCACGTGTTAATTTTATAGTTTCAATTATGTTTCATGGTAATCAAGCAAATACCAAAGCTATTTATTTAGTTTTTCAGTCGCAATTATTTTAAGGATTAGGAAAACCCTCCCAGGTTTTGTGACAAGCACCCGAGTTTCTCACGCGACGCCTAGCGCCCTCTACGCCCACTCGGCCTCCAGGGAGTGGGAGTGTGACGCATCGCTTCCTCTAGGCACGGCGCTCCGCTGCCCCGACACGAAGGATATTGCCAGGCAGCTCATCGAGGACTATCCAGGCTCTGATTTTAATGTGAGTTCTCAGGGATTCAGAGTTGTGCAAGGTTGTACATTAAATACTAGATTAGACATAAATAACAGGATCTTGAAGCGATGACTTAAGTGAACGTGCACACAAGCGCGGGTTTAATGAAGCAGATAACTCGCTGTACAATTAACAAAGATATACCTGGGGTCGGAGACCTTCTCAATGTGGGTATGGCTTATGTAGATGCCTGTAACTTCAACTAGAACCTAATTAAATCATATACAGTATTTATGACTAATTATACCACAGCCTACAGGAAAATTTCGATTGGTTCCATAGATCTCGAGGCTCCATGAGAAAACCCATAACAAGTTTATTTCAGTAGTGACCATAAAGTTTTGACTTGCTCCCGAACATAGTTGAGCTCATCCCCCTCCACACATCCCCCATTCTGCAACCATAAATGTTTTATCAATCACTGTCCTTCTGACAGCCCGTTTTGTATAATGTGTGACGGTGTGCCACGTTCTTAATGAAATTAAACATTTATATGGGTCTTTCATACAATTTTTGTAAGCAAAAACCTGAGAGTTCTTACCAACAAAAACGAAAAAATTCAAGGGTCCTATGACACTTTATCATAATTACCGCAAGAAACATGAAAAATTTTTGATGAATCGAGAAAAACTATTCCGTAGAATGGAATAGAGTCGAGTTGCCATTTTGGCATTCAGATGTTTTTTGGCCAACTGTCCATCTTCTCGAGCCTGCTCGGCTGAAGAGGGCGAAAATTTTCCCAGCAACGGTAATGAAATTAAAACGTTTCGCATAATAATAATAATAATAATAATAATAGCGGTTTCAGCGTTATCGACAGGCCGTAGGCCTGTCGCCGATTCTTAACATCGCAGAACATTCACAGCATTTTGCGGTCTCGAACTCGCAACTCACTGCTACAATTCTGCTGTGCTTAACCGCCCGGCCTCCTTGCCGATTCTGACCAGAAACTGGCGCACAGAGCTGGGATCGAACCCGCGCCACTCTGCGCCAATCTTGGTACTCTGAACTTTAACCACTGGGCCACCCTGCCTTTAACCACTGCATCATCATAAGTTGCGGGATTGTAGCAGCTCTGGGCCTATTTGAAACCAAGACCATTTAGTCATCATTGTAGAGATTTTTAATTGCTTCTACACTAATCCATTCGTAAAAACCTAGGATAAAATTCACCTCGTTTGTAGCCAAAAAGGCTCAACTGTTGCTTCCATACACACACACCACACAAAATCAGTTGAATTTTGTATCACGACACGGAATGAGGCCTAATCCAATCTAAGGTTTCATGAACTATTCTATGACCCATGCAAACAGGTAATCATGGGTGGAGGTTACTCCTGCCTCTCTGGAGACGCCGTGGAGACACCTGGGGACCCCATAAACTTGGAGTATGGCTGCGTCAGGGCAGACGGAAGGAATCTTTTCGATCAGTGGACGGTATGAGTAATCATGAATAACTCTTGTGAGCCCTAACTTATTGCTAGGAGGACGATTAGTGCACACTCGAGGGGTACTAACTTCGTGTTTTGAAGGGAGAGAATGGTTCCTTTAGTCAGTTTTAGCGTAACCCGCATGATTCTGGACTATGAAATGAACTCATGAAGTTTTGGAGACGATTTTTCTTCTAATCTGAAGGAAGGCGGATTGTGGAGTATCTAATATTGCTAAGGAGCAGACTGTATTTTTATTGCTACATGTGGGACTCTGGAATAACTTGTATTTACATAATAATTTGACTTGTCATGTTTAGAGGAAATGAGTTTATATATACTTTGAAGCTCCTCAGTGGATCACATGAGATAATGTACCTAGAACCCAACAATAACCTTACAAGTTTTAATATACGTGAGATTATGATCCGATCAGATGATTGGTTTTGTGTTTCATTGGGGCAGATTAATCAGGAGGCCAAGGGGCGCCGCCATGCGGCAGTTCGGACCTTCACGGACCTGAAGGCAGTCAACGCCTCCGACGTCGACTACATCCTGGGTGAGGAAAATATCCGTGACCGACTACTTATACATGATTTGCTGCGTGACTTGGAGTGAATCTACGACAAGAGTGGGATATAAAAATGATTCTTTCGCCTTACAAACCCGCATTATCTAGCTAAACCATTCTCAGTTTGAACTGGGAGCTACAGTATAGACACAAATCTCATCATGCAGTGAGCCAGAGAGATCCGCAAGAAGAAGCAAGCAAGTCGACAAACATAGAGCCGCCACCACTCAGTATTGAACCTGCCTCGGCTCCAAATAATAATAGCGATTCTACCATAGAATATTAGGCAGGCCGTTAGACCTGTCGCCGGTTCTGAATATCGCAGAATTTGAACGCAACTCACTGCTGTAATTTTGCAATGCATATCCGCCCGGACTCCTCACTGGTATTGACCAGAACTGTCACATGAAGGTGAGTCACTTGACAGCATTACAACGCATCTGCCACGTATCAGCCCAGTTAACCAAACTAGCAATATCATCTTGTAATTGTACTTTATTTTACTCATCCTCAACTGTATTATAAACTTTTGTGACATCAGCATACATGGAACACATGCTTTACACAATTTCTCGCAGATCGTTTATAGAAGTAACGAATAAAACAGGCCCAAGTACGCTTGCTTGTTGCACGCCACTGCGCACTGTTGCCCGGTCTGGAACGATTCAGTTAACACTGACACATTATCGTCTACCTGCTAGAAAATCTTTGATCCAATGGAGTACAATTCCATCTATTTCCAAAGACTTATCGAGGTACACTGCAACCACTGGCTCCCTTCCGTCCAGCAGACGAGTCCAATTGTTCAACATAGACAAGACATTAGTGCTGCAGGATCTACCGGCAATGAAGCCATGTTGAGAGTTAGATAAGAGATGGTTAACTGTCAGGTGATCGATAATCTCATCCCTCACACTTATGTAGCCTTTTTAGCGCATTTTCTCATTTATGGAAAAAATGCACTATTGTACTCGTCATGCCCGTCTGTCTGTCTGTCCGTCCGTCCGTGACCTCAAGTTTTCGTCGACGAGAAATGCGCTCTCTGTCACTCACTGCAGTGAGTACTGAGTTATATTTTTTGAATAATGGTGTTACCTGAGCTTCTTTCAAATCGGCCACCAAAGCCCCTTCGTCCAAAGTTTTTTGGCAATATCACTGTTACAGAGCCGGCCAGGATGATTGCTAATTCTTTGAGCAATCTATGGTAGGAGCCGTCTGGTCTACATGACTTGTTGGGATTCTGGGCGACCAGGCGCTCCTTAACAGCTGGAATACTGTTCAAGTCCTCATCTGTAAACACACTGCTAAAGAACTGATTTAGAACGTTAGCATTGCCCTCGTCAGATGATATCTTTCAAAGATCTACTTTCAAATCAGAAATACCGTCCTTTGTCTTACGCTTAGAACAAGCGTACAAAAAGGAGGCTTGCGAGTTATCTTTTTTCGTTTCCCGTAATATTTTCAGCGTTTTTCACTGTGGTGCGACAGATTTTTTAGCTTGATTTCGTGCTCTTGCGTACAGGTTATAATCAATATTGCGACGAGTTGGCAAATAACGCTTGTAGGGTTCTTTCTTGGCTTTCAGCTTAGCAATAAATTTACTGTTCATCCTGTGACTTTTTGATTCTACAGAGATTGATCTTGGGTTCACACGCATTAAATGCGGACATAACCTTGTTTTTGAGAAACGACCATGAATAATACATATTTATGTTTTTATTGCAGTCCGAATTATTCCCCACACCCACTGAGTTTCGCAAAGTTCGAACGTTCACGCTTCAAAGGCGTATTTTCTGTTTAGCACTTGAAACTGAAAAACGATGATTGGTGGTGGTTTTTGCCTAACGGAGCCTCGTGACGAAGCTAATCTAACATTGATTTTTCACTAGTAATCACTAGATCTAGAGTATTTGTGGTCTGTTTACCCATAAATGGGGTCGACTTGGCGATGTTCTGGATTAAAAATGAGCCTCGCACAGACTCCAAGAACAGGGTTCTAGGTGATTCCAATCTCCTGGAGAGGATTCAGCTACCCAGTCTATTTCTAGATGGTTGATGTCACCAACGATCAACGGATACGACCTGCTGAAAGTCAAGCTCTATAAAAGGCTGTTTAATACTTAATCGTTATCAAAGGAACTGTTCGGTGATCTATACAAGACGCTTATGAGGAGGCTAGATCCTAGCCTTTTAAAGAAAGTTCGCACCACACTGATTCTTTAGCTGATTGGTGCTTTGCAGACAACTTAACGTGCCCATTAAAGTTATAAAGTTATAAAAACTATCAAAACCTACAACGGATTTTCAGGAAGTGTTTCTGTAATACTAATAAAGTCTATACACTCGTTTGCGATCACAGTTAATAGTTCACTTATAATGAATATATATACCGTTTTCAGCGTTCATTAGGCCGTGGGCCTGTCGCCGATTCTTATCATCGCAGAACATTCACAGCTTGGTGCGGTCTCGAAGGCGCAACTCGCTGCTACTATTCTGTCTTGTTAATCTCCTCGCTGATTCTGACCAGAAACTGGCGCACTGAGCTGGGATCGAACCCGCACCTCTCTGCTCCAATCTTGGTACTCTGAACTTTAACCACTGGGCCGTCCTGCCTTTTTTGCTTAAAACAGAATCCGAGTTAGTGTAAAAATATAAAAAAATTTATGCTCTTCCACTTTGATGTATGCTGGTACTTCTTACATTATTTACAGGCCTGTATACCATATGGACATGACTCCTACTGTTTACTTGTCTTTCAGCTTCGCTGACCGACCGGGTGCGGCCGGTGTTGTCTGGACATCATGTGAGTGGTTGGCCTGATTTTCCGTGCTTTTCCGCTTGATTCTCTCCTGCCATTTACTGCGGAAATCTTCTCTCTCTAAAGGGGTGGAATACTTCGTACTTCTTTAAAAACGGACTTGTACTCAGCTGATCCTCCAAGCTTTCTCGCTGCCTTCAGCACGCTCCAAACCCGTGCAGGATTCTTTACAGTCACAAACAGAGGTCTGCAGGTGTTGGCAGCTGCAATCTTTGTGCGTAGCCTCTTGCACGATGTAATATCAACCGGTGTGCTGAGTCCCTTGCTGCAACAGTCTTCAAGAAGCGCAGTATCAGCCATTACTCGTTTTTTTATCTAATGCGGTAATTTCGGGAACTGCAAAGCACACAATGTTGGACGTTCTCAGTCAATAAATTCACGGAAGCTTGCGCTATAGCAACTTCGGATTAATCAACTCTTTGGTTCTTCACTTTCATCTTGTCAGTATTTTTCAGCAGAGCTTAACTTTACAGCCCATAGTAAAGCGAGCTCAATTTTTCACTCAACGAAAGCCCCATCTAACTCAAGTAGTTTACTACATTATTCACTGATTTCGACTCATTGCTGTGCTCTTCCACCGGCTTTCCGCTTTTTCGAGCACAAAGAGTTGGTTTTTCGAAGTCACGACATAACCAATAAACCATATTAATTCACTTTTTTGGATAAATGAGTACTCCTCAGAGCTCAACTTCGAACAGCCGATACAAAATAAATCAACGTTCACAGGTTAACGTCTGATAAACCTCGCCTACCTGCAGAGATCTCATTGCAGTGCTTGCAAACTTTCATCTCTAACTGATCTGTTTTGATTTTTTTTCAGCGGAACTAGAAGGCTTTTCGACTACATCTTTCCTCTCAGCCCAGCCATCGTACAATGCACGAAAAAAACACACACAAGTTTAAAACTGAATTGAGTGGGTTAATACACCGTCGAAAATTCCGACTCCGGCACTATTGAGAGATAGGCAAGGGAGAGAGATAGTGCTGGGAGGGAATGAAGGAGCCGAAGCGACAGGCGAGTAGAGTGAGGGAGGGACAGGATAAAGATAGGCAGAGGGGCAGGGTAAAGGTAGAATAGAATAGAAGTGTCGTCACTGAAGAAATAGGCCCATGGCCTGTTGCCGATTCTCGTACTTTTCGGACTTGATTCACAAGGGATCCGTCCTTTGGAACCCGATCTTTCATTAACTGACGATTGTTTGAGATAGCTGCTGGACTTATTGCCTGGTCAGTAAGGTGCTAGACATTTCAATACTGAAGATAAGTCCCTACATAGCTTCGTCTAGTCTATTTTTGAAAGCGTTCATATTCGGATCGTCTACGATGCTATCAGGGAGGCTGTTCCACATGTCGGTGACTCGAAGCGAGAAGAAATGTTGTCGCATGAATGTGTTCCAACGCTGTTTTTTAGTTTATAGCCGTGGCCCCTGGTGTTGGTTTTTGTTTCGAATTTTAGTAATCCTTCTGAGACCTTGTATAAGCCATGAGTATACTTGTATACTTCGATGAGGTCGCCAGGTAGAAGGAGGAGCATGGTAAAGGTGACAAAACCTGGCTCAGGAGAAATTAGGGTTAACCGAAAGCCACGCCGCATAAAATACTGTGCTCTCACTCATTTGCTTACCCTCGTTTTTCACAAAGAAAAACAAGCAACCACTTTTTACTAGCTTCCACTCTTTATTTACCTTCTCTTACACTGACTTCATTTCAGTCTTTTTCCTGAAACGCTTCAACACACAATCTCTCGTAAAAACGTTAGCCTTGACGAGTTTATGATTACATTTGACAAACTTCAAAGAATCATTTCCAGTTTGTTGTCACTAAACTAGACTGTCTGCCAACCGTAGGAGTGTTCGCAAACGACCACGTGGCATACGAGCATTTGAAGCGTGAGCTGAACCTGGACATGCCAACTCTGGCCGACATGACGGAGGCGGCCATCAGCGTCCTGCAGGCCAGCGATGCGGGGTACTTCCTTCTCGTGAGTCTTGCTCATGCGGGGTACTTCCTTCTCGTGAGTCTTGTTCATGCGAGGTACTTCCTTCTCGTAAGTCTTGCTCATGCTGGGTACTTCCTTCTCGTGAGTCTTGCTCATGCTGGGTACTTCCTCATCGCGAGTCTTGTTCATGCGGGGTACTCCTATTTAGTTCAGTAAGCAATTGCCCTGGCAAGATAAATATTAGAGCCTTCTGTCCAAAGCTCCTCTTTTCGGCATGTCCTGCTTGGGAATGAGTGAGAATTTTCGCAACTCTGTGAGTGAGAAGTTATTTAAATAAATCTCATTAACAAAAACTAGAAATAAATGAATAATTCAGGCTGTATAGCGCTGGGAAGAACAAATGCTAGAAAGATTTATGCGTCCCGCCTCAATGGAAAAGTTTATCATAAAAATATTTAAATTACCGTACAGTTTTTGCACTGAACTGCTTGTTAAATAATATCATTGAGATAACATTTGTTTATAATATGACGACATGTAAGTTTTTTTGTAAGTCGAATAGCAAAATCTTTCCATCTGTCTCAGGTCTCACGTTTATCATATATGATTTATATACAGTAATCGACTTTTTATAATGGATATTAAAATCTTTGGAAATTAATATACGAAATCCATGAAGAGATTACGTTGCTTGTGCAGGTAGAAGGCGGTCGCATCGACCTCGCCCACCACGACAACCTCGCCAACACAGCACTCGACGAAACTGCTGCTTTTGACGACGCTATTCGTCGAGCCTTGTCGCTCGTCAACACAGAGGTGAGTCCCGCCAAGCTGCGACACTCGTCAACACAGAGGTGAGTTCCGCCAAGCTGCGACACTCGTCAACACAGAGGTGAGTCCCGCCAAGCTGCGACACTCGTCAACACAGAGGTGAGTTCCGTCAAGCTGCGACACTCGTCAACACAGAGGTGAGTCCCGCCAGGCTGTGCCATCCATCAATACCGATATACACTACTTTTCACTCAGTCTATAAAGGTCAGAATCTTACAGAGTAGAACTAATATACAGCGCATAGACGAATTCTGACAGGTTAACTAACAATTTATCTCCCCAGGAGACATTAGTGATCGTCACATCCGACCACAGCCACGTGGCCACCATCAACGGCTACCCCCACCGCGGCCAAGATATTACAGGTGAGCTACACGACAGCATTCGCAGGATCACGAAGCACTAGCAGCTCTTCGATGTACTTGCAGGTTAAAGAGGCACTAGCAGGTTCACATGCACTTGCAGGTTCACACGCCACTTGCAGGTTCACAGGGCACTTGCAGGTTCAATAGGCACTTACAGGTTCACTGGGCACTTGCCGATTCACACGGCACTTGCAGGTTCACGAGGCACTTGCAGGTTCACACGGCACTTGCAGGTTCACACGGAACTTGCAGGTTCACACGGCACTTACAGGTTCACTGGGCACTTGCCGATTCACACGGCACTTGCAGGTTCACGAGGCACTTGCAGTTTCAAGGTGTAATAGACGGTTTACGTCACACTTAAAGGTTCTCATTGTAGAATGGACACCGGAAAATCACTGGTGCGAAAGTACTACTGACAGAAAGACAATGGTAGAATTTACATGTTTGCACAAATTTCAAAATGAGCACCGAGGCCTTAATTAATAGATGAGCTAATAGCAACGAAGGCAAATGAATAGAATCAAAATAGGCAAGAGGACACAAATTAAAGTATGAGAACTAGTGCACCAATTGCAGAATGGGCATGAAGGCACATGTTGGAGAATGGGCATATGGGCACCACATGCAGAACTATCAAAAGATCATCATTGAAGCACGTGGCTAAATCTGTGCACCACGGGCGCTTTAAACAAACCGGCAATTCGACAATTTAATAATTTCATTCACCTGACTAATAATTACATCTGTGAGATAATAAAGTTCGATTTATATAAGAAGAAAGAAAAAAGCGTAGGAGATTTAATAGAAACTACGTGCGTCATGAAGGTTTATAAGTAGAATGATTGTTGTAGAGACGGGTCTGATGAAGGAAGAAATGTGTTCGTTGTAGAAACCGATTCCAGGTTAAGGTTACCTGACTGAATTGATGCGAATATTTAGTTTACGGTAACTCAGAATTTTTCGGGGTTGTAAAAATACCTTCACCAAAATAATTATTTTTCTTTGATTTGCACAATCTAGCACATGGGCCTAAAATGCAGCAGGTCGAACAAGCTTTGATAGAAACAATAATGATTGCCACGAATATTTTGTGATAATTCTCAATAGTAGAGCTTTTCCAACTCTGTTTTGTTCGCTGAACGTCTTTTTGAAAATTTGACGTAAAACTCAAATTCAATTGAGTAAAAAAATCTATCCCATCCATCACTATTCTGCAGGCCAATTTAAGTTTAATTTCCCCCCGCCAGGCTTCTCGGGCATAATGGACGACGGACTGCCGCTGCCAACTATCACCTACACCAACGGGCCGGGCTGGATTGGCTCGTACGTTGTGGACGAGAACGGCAACGCCGCGCGACGTAACCTCACCGACGACGACGTCACGAGCTACGATTACGTCCATTCGGCGGGCGCACTGCGGTACTCGGAGACGCACGGTGGCGACGACGTCGCGCTTTTTGCAGTCGGTGAGAAAACGTCGCGATTGTCGTGGAGCTTACGAGCATTCGGGCACCGTCGTGGGTCTGTCGAGCAATGTTTAGTGTCGTAAGTCAGCTTGGTCTTGATAAAGACTCAGTACTCATATAGGACTATTGCGCAGGAAGCCGTTCCTTGGTACTATTGTAACCAACATAATACTCGTATTGTGCCTAATATTTCCTAATGTACTGCGATTCCCTTTCCATTTGGAAAAAAACGAACAAATCTTTTCTAGTTGGCCTGCGATTTCAGACTCAATACTGTTAACCCCCCTCAGTGGCAGGACTAGTTTTTCTTTCCCATTCGTTGTCGTTCTAGAAATTTTCGCCCTTTCGTACTCAATAAATATAAATTTCTAACCAACAATTATTTCTCTCAGGTCCGATGTCCCACCTGTTCCAGCGCACTCATGAGCAGAGCTTCATAGCTCACGCAATGGCTTATGCCGCCTGCATCGGGCCCAACCTCGACCACTGTGCCCAGCCATAGTTTGAGCCTCCAGCATCGGGCCTACTGCATACTTATTATATTAGCCACTGCTATGCCTACTATATCTAGTGCACTGCGTCCAGCAATATCTTATATCTCACACATCGTAGAAGAGGTATACTGCACGCAGCAATGCCGAAAGCCCAATTCGTCAATTCTGTGAAGACCAAACCTTGTTAGACTACGTAACTGCCCCTCGGAGCATGGCCAAATCAAGTTGTTCCAAATACTCTTGTGTTTACTGTCAGATTCGCAGTGCATTTATTGGGAAATGTTTTGTAATTTTGGCACAACAAGATACTTCTCTTATTTCATTGTAAGATTCGCAATTCGTTGTGTCGGTTATCTTCATTTCAAATTGTTTAGCAGCTGTTATTAACAACATTATTTCGAATTTTGTTTAGCAGCTATTTAATTTAATTGTCGTAATTTAATGAAGTTAAATTGTACTCTGAAATAAATGGTCCTGTTTTAGTTCAATCTAATATAGAATGGAGTTATATTACTGCTACATACGTTCTGAGATTTCATTTAAAGAAAGTCATGCGTTGGAATTGGAATTGGAATTGGGGTGCGTGGTGACCTACGGTCACGACCTTTAAATCGGTCATACACGCTGCCTAAAAAACTTTTACTAGCATCAAAAAATTAAAAGTTCACACTCTTATGTTAACAAAAAATTTCAAATATACCATATTCACAGCTGTCCTAAGAAAAAATATAAAAATTTGACAATCGCAAAAAATTAAAACCACGTACTAAAACAATTCGGCACGTTCACACGTCCTCCCACCCTCCCCTCTCTCAACCCTCCATTCCTCAAGACCCCACTCACAACATCCTCCTCCTCTCCCTCATCATCCACACGTTTTCCAAATATCTCTTCACACTCTCAAACATAGCCGCAGTTGCTCCCTCAGACAGACCCGTAATTATCGCCATCCACTCTTCGCTTGTTCTCTCATGCCCCACCTCGTTAGTCTCACCTCTCTCATTCAGAATCACTTCAATCATAGACTGACGCTCTCTCTCATACGCCCCACATTCCATCAACAAGTGCTCTACAGTTTCCTTCTCATCCCCATCACACATAAAACATTTATCTTCTCTCCTTTCATTCCACCTGTATGTACGTCCATTCACACCTAGCGCGCCTGCCCTAACACAAAACAGAAGGTCCCCACCTCTACTACCATCATACATACATTCATATTTTGGCATCGCTTTCATCTGATACAGTCTTAGAGAGTCCTTTCCCTCCATTCCTTGCTTCCATACCTTCAGCCCATAATCTTTCACTCGCTCATTTATTTCTCTTTTCCACTCTTTTTCATCCCACTCTATCCCAATCGCACCCCGTACTGTCACCACCCATTCGTCCTTTGGCCCAGCGGGCCTTTGGCGCACCCATGCTTCATGCATGCCACACTTACGCACCACTGCCCGACATCTGAAATAAATGGTCCTGTTTTAGTTCAAAATTATATTAATCAAATGCCGCATTTTACAATGACCTAGTCGCTCAAGTAATGGTTACAAAAGAAAAGCAATCACAATTTCTAATGTCTTTTTATGTCCCTTACACAATTTAATATTTCAAGGATATTGATCAACTCGCAGAAAATACCAGCATGCTGCTCAGAATGACGTTAAATTGCTGGAGCTACGAGATCTTCCATTTCCTGACGTGAGAAGCGATAACACTGAGGTTATGCTATTTATATTGTGAAAAGGATACTGAGATACATGAATCGTCAGATGTAGCTTGAATCTCTTGCATCTGTGAAGACGGAGATGGCCAAAAGTTTGAGGTGCAACCCACAACATTGGCTGCAACGAACAACTAAATGAAACAAATGAACTGTCGAAAGACGAAAATAATACGTGAATAAAATCAACGAAATTAATACATGAATTAAATTTCTCATGTGACGTGCTGCTGGAACTGGTCCGTGTAAGAGTGGCAAGCACTGGGTCAAATTTCTCGAAGCGACAATCATCTACTGAGCAGAGAGTTACGTACTTTTATGGTGAGTTGAAATTTATTAATATAATAATAGCGATTTCAGCGTTTATTGGGCCGTTGGCCTGTCGCCGATTCTTAACATCGCAGAGCATTCACAGCTTGCTGTGGTCTCGAACACACAACTCACTGATCCAATTAGCCTTGCCTAGCCGCACGGCCTCCTCGCCGTTTCTGATCAGAAACTGGTGCACAGAGCTGGGATCGAACCCGCACCTCGATCTCTGCTCCAATCTTGATACTCTGAACTTTAAACACTGGGCCATTTCCATTGTCAATGTAGGTATTGCAAACGTCCTTCCACCTGCAGCGCCGAAGTTTTTCATTGACAGGGAAGACAGAATCTTGCAGGGTTTGCAGCGCTCTGATTGGTGGTGGGGACAGGTCAAGGACCTATCAAATAATTAATAGATAGTCACGTCTTGTCCTAACTGACAAACCACTGAAGAACTCTTATATTAACCATAACGACGAACTCTTAAATAACTGTAACGAAGAACCCTTATATTAACTCATTCATAGCTAGACATGACGGTAGCTTTAGAATTACTGGTATATAATTGAGAATGACAACGAGAAACGTTAAGATAATAATTGTCGAATGACTTTATTGAAGAATAGCGAGTAAATGGTGCTTCATATTTTTTGTTAGTTGCCTTGCGCAAGATGTGTTAGTTGCCTTATACGGGTACAGTCGCCAGCAAACACCTCGTACCATCTAAATTTCTTGTTTGAATATTGGCGCTTAATGATCAGAGAATTTGTTGATTTTAATTTTCAGGATCGAACAGTTCTTCAGCTGACGTTGGTTGATCAAAATGCACGTTTTAGGAAGTAATTTTATTTTTGAACGGTGTTTCGAATGTGATAACATTCATTTTCAAGTTGTAGGAAGCATTTAATTCGGACTCTTCAAATTTATATTTTTGAGCTCACTGTTGGTTGGTCCGGTTGTTTATCTCGAAATTTGTTCAGATCTGTGTCTCAGTTATTTTTATGACAGATCTGCGATAAAACTGTGATAATGTAGTCACATTCGTAAGGTCGTTAAAAATTAATATTACTTCCTAAAACCTGTATTTTGGTCAACCAACGTCTTCTGTCTAAAACGATGCAACCCATGTGCATGTGACGTGACCATAAGCAGCGGCGTAAGCCGACTTCTGTCGGTCGCGCCTTAGTCTTCACTTGTGTTGTTGAAGTCGACCTAGCGTCCTAGCCGGTCACGGTTCCGGTCGCTTCCTTAGATTTAGAGGCCTTAGTTTAGTGTATTAAGTGTAACTGACAACTATAACTGATAACTATAACTGATAACGATAACGATAACTGATAACTATAACGATAACTGATAACTATAACGATAACTGTATCTAAGTTATATCTGAAAATGAATTCCTCTTGTGCACCCACAGCTTCACGATCGTCAGTGGCTGGGAGCGTACGTTGTGAGAAGTTCCTACCAACCGGAGCCTGTGCTATAGGTTTCGCCTACTTTGTGCCAGTTACCTATTTCAATAAATATATTGAACTTGTGACATAGTCACCATATATATTTTGTTTCCATTCCTTCGTTTTTGTTATCTTCATAATATACCGTTCGAACTTGAAAATTTGAATCGATGAAATTCTCGGGGACATCGCCAATGTCAAAACAAACTTATTATGCCATCTAATATTAATTTCTGACATCAGAATATAAATAGCTAGTACAGACATCAAATAAATCTATGCTGTTGAAGAAAATTTCGACAGCATATTTACCAAAATTTACCCAGCATTGCGGGTATTTCTCATAAATGAGAAATATATACGAAAAAGTTTGTATATACGTCCGTTTCTAAATCCATGGACTAGATCTACGGTAGCTAAAATACGTTCACAGAGAGATTCAAAAACTAATTGGTTATAAGCCAAACTTAAGGACAAGGGGTGATTCGTAGACGTGTCATGGACTCAGGCTTGCCAGAACAAGTACAGTCTCTTAAATGTTAGCCAACTATAGAGTTTGAAAATAATACAACGGAAAGGATTTTATCGTCCAAATCTATTTCTTTGCTCTTCTACGACGATTAAACTTTTCTTTGTATCTTTTATGAGGTAGGACAATGAGATATAAAATATCGTGAGGGACTGCTGACAACCTGGAGAACATGCACCAACTGAGAAAGAAGGAAAGAAACTGAAGTGAAAAGATGAAGGTTTTAATTAAATAAAAATTGCCGAGTCCAGGTGTTACAAGCGGTCCGCGCATGACTTCTTCTACACCAGTTGTTCCCAAACTTTTTCAGGCTGGCGCCCCCTTTGGCTCCCTAGTGAATTTCTAGCGCCCCCCACAGACGTATAAAAATATAACTCAGTAGTCACTGCAATGAGTGACAGAGAGCGCATTTTCTCGTCGCCGAAAACTTGAGGTCACGGACAGACGGACGGACAGACGGACAGACAGACAGACGGACGGACGGACATGGCGAGCACAATAGTGCATTTTTCCATAAATGAGAAAATGCGCTAAAAACATACACCTCTTTCTTGAAATTAAGTACGCTGTAATTTCAAATGATAAAGGTTAAACGCAAATTTGTATTTTACAATTAGAACCCCATATAGTGAACCAATATGTTTTAAAGCTTTTTTTTTAACTGTTTCAGTACTAGATACCTAGGATGTCTCGGGCAAATTTACGGCCGGACTCGTGGCCGATCGCACGACCAATCTCCAAATTCAATTATCAAGTAATATCTCCCAAACTAATAAACGCAGCTCAATGAAACTTGGAACATGTAATCATCAGAACGTAACGGTGATTTTTAGCTCGTAAAAAATTTTAAATTTCGCCTTCATTCGTGAGTTATATTGCGATAAAGGCCGAAATTCGCAGTGATCAAAGAATTTCTTCCAAACTACTGAACAGATTTTAACGAAATTTTGAATATAAATTCTTAACTAACAAACGGTGATTTTTTAGCTTCTAATAAAATTTAGATTCGAACCTTCGTTTGCGAGTTTTTTTTCATTTCACCGTCATTCTTGATTTCACACTTGCTTATACTCGGCCCGTATCGCCGGATAATATGTCGCTTAAATTCGCGGCGATCAAAAAATTTTTTCTAAACTACTGAACAGATTTCAACGAAACTTTGAATGTAAATACCTAACCTTCAAACGGTGATGTTTAGCTCGTGGCAAATTTTCTATTTTGCTTTCGTTCGCGAGTTACACAGATACAGGAGGAACGACCGGCTTTTCTACCGGCCGGTTTAATCATGAGCCGTTTGCGTATAGCCGTATAACTCGCAAACGAAGGCAAAAAGAAAAAATTGTAGCGAGCTAAACATCACCGTTGCTGAGGTTAGGTATTATAATACTAAGTTTCATTCAAATCTATTCAGTAGTTTTGGAAGAAATTCCTTGATTAATGCGAATTTGTGCACGTATTGCTGTTTAAATCACAAATGAAGGTGAAATGAAAAAAAAAAAACTTGTAAACAAAGGCACAATCGAAAAAATTTTTACGAGCTAAACTTTTTTGTTCAGTAGTTAGGACTGTAAATT